TTTTTGATTTATCAATATTGAGAATGTCTATCACATTTGTCATTTCTATTTCAGCTGTGGACCTACAGTTACTCAGCAAAAACAAACACCAGCACAGGCCGTGGAGTTCTGCAGAAAAAGCAGCGGTGTGGCGACAGCTGGGGCAGTGCATCACTATGCAAAGAGTTCCTGGTAAAGAGGTCTGCCTCAAGGCACTTGAAGCAGAACCAGCACTGGGCAGTCACAACTGGAAAGATTTAAAGAATAATGTCCACAACTTCATGTCTCAAAAAAGGAAATTGTTGTAGTTCATTTTTAATTTATGTTGTGCAAATAAAGCCAGTTGTGACTAATTTCATGTGCTAAATTGTTTATCAAGCTTCTATCAATGGAGTGGGTGGTTTTTTACAACTTTCACACTTTTTAAAATATTTAGCATTTATATTATCACTTAAGTTCAGCATATTTTCAGGCAAAAAAGCCATTCAGGTATCACAATGTTCAGCTCTTCAAGGACATTTCTGCTTGTATTTTTCTTTTTTGTACCATTTATACTTTTTACAATATTCAGCTTTTTTTCAGCACATTTTGCCCCATTCAAATGAATGGGATACATTTTCACATCTTATTAAATTCAGCATACTTTCAGCAAAAAACACCATCTCAACTGTTAACCCATCAGCAACACTTCAGCTTTTTGATATTATATGGCTTTTTGCATAATTGCTGTTTACATTTTATGCCTTATTTCAATAGCCACACCATAGTAGCCCTCAGGGTGTGGGACCTCTCTCTCTCTCTCTCACTCACACACACACACACACACACACACCTACTTTGTGGGGGCCATTGGGAAAATATTCACAGCTTAATACATTCAGCATACTTTCAGCTACAAAAGCAATCCAGGTGTCAAAATGTTCAACTCTTCAAGGACATTCCTGTTTGAATTTTTTGTAACATTTATAGTTTTTACAATATTCACCTTTTTTCAGCAAATTTTGCCCCATTCAAATGAATGGGCACAACTTAAGTTCAGCATACCTTCAGCTAATAACTGTTAACCATTCAGCAACTCTTCAGTTATTCATACTGTAAACTGCTTTTTCATATCTTTTATGGTTTTTTGCATAATTGCTGTTTACATTTACTATGGTGTCCAGTTTTCATCATGTCTGCATAGGAAACCTGAGACATCACTTGGATTTGTGTGGTTTACCTGGTATCCAC